GGGAAGGGTAGCGGCCGTACGGCTAATTACCATGTTTCTCTTTTATTAGATAGGATATATATATATATATATATATATATATATATATATATATATATATATATATATATATATATATATATATATATATATATATATATATATATATATATATATATATATATATATATATATATATATATATATATATATATATATATATATATATATATATATATATATATATATATATATATATATATATATATATATATATATATATATATATATATATATATATATATATTTATATAATCTTATTGGCAAAAAGATCTTATTGGTGTATATATCTTATTGGTATATCCTCCTTCCTATATAATAAAAGGCTAATATGCAAATTGACCTAATGGCAGAACGACTGGTCGCTATGATGTGCATTGACCATCAGGGGGCAGACACTCAATGCAGGAGCTTCCCCCTGGTGATCAGTGCACTCCCACAGGGGGAGCGCCACTCAGCCAGAAGCTGGGCTCACTGCTGGCAAGTGAAGCAGCGGTGGCGGGAGCCTCTCCGCCGGGCTGAGGGACGCCCCCCTCTGCCCCCCGCAGTGGATGAATTTCATGCACTGGGCCTCTAATATATATATACTAATTGGTCTGCTTTTCTGGAGAACCCTAATACAGATTTTATGGAAAGTGGTACCTTGAGGGACAGAATTTTAAGGATGAATTTTTAAAAATATATTTTATTGATTTTTTACAGAGAGGATGGGAGAGGGATAGAGAGTTAGAAACATCAATGAGAGAGAAACATTGATCAGCTGCCTCCTGCACACTCCCTACTGGGAAGGTGCCGGTAAACAAGGTACATGTCCTTGACCGGAATCGAACCTGGGACCTTTTAGTCCACAGGCTGATGCTCTATCCACTGAGCCAAACCAGTTAGGGCAAGGATGAATTTTCTTAATTGGTTCTGAGGTTTCTGGAATTGGCTCGGTAATCTCATTAGATTTAAAGATGCCAATGACTCTATTTCCAATGGTAAAGAGAACACTGACAGTCTATGGAAATAGAGATATACAGTTATTGAGTAATCCTGTCAACCACTTACGAAAAACGAGGAGCTAGGTAACTCCATAGACTGCTTTTGAACATTTTTTGGAAAACTAGTTAATGAGATTGACAGATCACTCCTATTGGTCACTGGACTAGATGGTGAGAGAAAATGCTAAGCTCAAGAATTCAAATTCTTAGCTCAACTGCCACATAAATGGCTAGACAACTTAGAAGTTGTGAGCCCTGAAGGAGACCCATACATAGAAACCCAGACATACAGTGAAAACTAAGGACTCAACAGAAGCAGGAAATCAAAAGCCTAAGATCAGTAGGCAATATAGGAGCCCAAATTGCTTTCCTCATTTCTACTTGCCCCTTCTAAGGTGTATCTGGGAGATAAACTGGGTTTTATCATTATTCATGGATAAGATCTGGAGCTATTATCATTTATGAATTAAAAGTCAAGAGAAAATGAAAGGACTTGGAAACCCTTAAGTAGGGGATATCTGGTCACACTAATTGACTGCTTCTGTGGAATTCTCTAGTGTGTGAATATGGATCTCCCCAAATGGGGAGATTTTGCAGTAGAGATGAAGATTAGATACGTAAAAACAGATAAAATTGAGCTTCAGTGGCAATAGGAGACTAATAAGAGGAAGAGCACAGAGAACCTTCCTTGGAATTATCTAGCAAGAGAATCAGAGCAGAAGAAGTGAGAAGGAGAGGCCTAATCCTATAAAGAGAGTAGGTTTTGTCAGATTAGGAAATAAGAAATCTAAGGCTATGGAAAGAAAAAGTAGTGCACAAATACATATTATCCATGTACTAATGGGCCTAGTAGATTGATTAGCAGAAGACTGTGAAGTTCCACAGCCATGTTGAAATGGAGAAATGAGGTAAAATAACTTCTGGAATAACTCAGTGTGACATTTCCAATGTTTTTATAGCTAAGCTCATAAAGATACATAAGACATTTAGCTGATAAAGAGCCAACCAAAATGAGCTTTGGAAATAATGTGGACACAAAGCAAGAGCAAAACACCTGGCCACCGTGATTAAAATGGTAATAATAATTGTCTACTTTAAGCACTGGCTAATTAATTTTATGGCAAGAGGGGTTTTTCCCTTTACCTGCCTTAAATGTTCAAAATACTCTTATTTGGAAATTTAAATGTCTTTATAGATTTCTGATCAATGTACATAGAAAGAGGCTGAAATGAAGAGAGGGGGATATGACCTTCCCAAGGTCACAGGGAGTTTCTGACTGAACCATAATCCCAACGTGAAGCAGCACTACCAGTCAGGCCCTCCGACCCCCCAGTCCTGGGTCTTTCACTCACTCACCTTCTTGAGATCTTGACCTGAGATTCCATGACTCTGTGACTTTATGGTTCTAGAATTCCAAGACAAAGCCCAACAATGCCAGTGCCCCAGACAGCCTTGGGACACAATAAGAGCATGGTCTAGATTGAAGTACCAACTAAATAATTTTACACTTCAAAATATCAACTATACCATCATGGATTCAAACACTGCACACCATCCTGTGTTTATGGTATTTCCTCCAGAAGTCACTGCTTCAGAATTTCAGTCAATGAAAAATATAGCCACAACCTATGAATCTACCACGCCTTTTTTAAAATTCTGTACTACAAAAATAAAAATCTTTGGGGTAAGTAAGATTTGCCCCAATGTAAATGCTAATGAAGGTTTGTTAGGAATGTAATATAGGTGTTCCCCCAAATTCCTATTTGAAGCCATAATCCTAACATGATGGTATCTAGAGGCAGGGACTTTGGGGGTAATTATTTCATTAATAAGTAGGGGTCAGAGTGCTAGGTTTCTTTGTGAGGATACAACAGAGAAGTCTGTAGTCTATAAGCCAGAAGAGGGTCTTCACCAGAATCGGATCATTCTGGTACCCTGATCTCAGACTTTCAGTCTTCAGAACTGTGAGAAATAAGTTTCTGTTGTTTATAAGTCACCGGATCTATGATACTTTGTTATAGCAGCCCAAGTTGACTAAGACAGAAATTGGTACCAAAAAGTGGGCTGCTGATATAACAAATATTTTAAAATGTGAAAGCAGCTTTGAAGATGGGCAATAACTTCTGGCAGAGGCTAGAAGAGTTTTGAAGTGCATGCTAGAAGAAGCTGAGATTGCCCTGAGGGAACTGGTAAAGGCAATTTTCGTGAGAGCTCACAAAGTAAAGAGGAGAGCTGTAGAGAAAGGCTCCATCTTCTTAGAGAGTGAACTTGACTGGATATATTGAATATGAGGTGGTGTTACCCATGGGATATTCAAGTGGGGATGTCTGACAAGAGCTAAAAATGTGAGTCTGGAGTTAAGGAAAATGATATTGTTTACAACTCAACTACATTAAGGTAATAGTTGCAATGGGAGTAAATGCGATTCCTCAGATGGAGAAGGTGGACGGGAATAAAAGAGGGCCCAGGACACAGACTCTTATATCGTATACCTTCCATTCTTCATGTCATTCTCATCAATCTTTCCCAGCATTCGTCAAACCACTGCTTGGTGGGGTAGTGCATCACAAGTGTGGCATAGAGTAAAAAAATAGAAAAGATGGGGAGTGCTGTGAACCCTGGGACATGACAATACCTCCATAGGCTCAAAGGATGGGTCATTGACAGAAGTGTTTCTGACAGTCCATTTCTATTTGAGGCCAGGCCTGCATGGTGATTTAGAATTCAGTACTTTTCAAACTTTAGCATTTATATGCCACAGACTTGGTGGTTTTCCCCCAGCTTTGTTGAGAGGTAATTGACATACAACTTTGTAAAGTTTAAGGTGTATAATCTGATGATTTGATACGCATGTATATTGCAAAATGTTTACCACAATAAGGTTAGTTATCACACCTTTCACATAATTGCCATTTTTGTTGTTGTATGGTGAGAACATTAAAACTCAACTCTCATAGCAACTTTCAACTATACAATACAATGTTGTTAATTGTAGTCACCATGTTGTACCTTAGGGCCTAGAACTTAACTGGAAGTTTGTACCCTTTGACCAACATCTCCATATTCTCCCCAACCTCTGAGCCTCTAACAACCACTATTCTACTCTCTGATTCTGTGAGTTCAATGTCTTTAGATTCCACATACAAAGCACTTGTCTTTCTCTTACTCTACTTAGCATAATTTCCTCAAGGTCCGTCCGTGTTATTGCAAATGGCAGAATTTTCTTTTTTTATACTGAACTACTGCCCAGTGCATAGATGCATGCACATTGAAAGGAAATTAATTTGAAGGTGGCCGGTGGGGCGGGACTGGGTGAGATGGGCCAGACACACCTTGGAGCCAACCTCCGATGGTCCCTCCCCAGCGGGCTACACCTGGGGCGGCGCTGTGGCTCGAAGGCCATCTGTGGAGTGAGCGGGGTCCCTTGGCAGGTGGGGTCCCTGTGCCCAGTGCATAGATTCATGCACATTGAAAGGAAATTAATTTGAAGGTGGCCGGTGGGGCGGGACTGGGTGAGATGGGCCAGACACACCTTGGAGCCAACCTCCGATGGTCCCTCCCCAGCGGGCTACACCTGGGGCGGCGCTGTGGCTCGAAGGCCATCTGTGGAGTGAGCGGGGTCCCTTGGCAGGTGGGGTCCCTCGGCCTGGCCTGCGGGGATCAGGCTGAATCTAGCTCTTCAACATCCCCTGAGGGGTCCTGGATTGAGAGAAGGCAGTTCTCGGTGACACATCCGGAATCAGGCTCCTTCCTCTCTGGTTCTGGGTGCGTCACCAAGTCACTGCAGCTCAGCAGCTTCTGCATTGAGCATCTGCCCCCTGGTGCTCATTGTGCATCATAGCTATTGGTCAGATGGTCAGACGGTCATTTAACCTTTTATATATATAGATAATATTTCATTTTCTTTATCTACCTAGATTGTTTCCATGTCTTACCCATTGTGAATAATGCTGTGATAAACAAGATAGCACAAATATTTTTTTGCGATAGTGATTACGTTTCCTTAGGATATATATACCCAGAAGTGGGACTGCTGGACCATATGGTAGCTCTATTTTGAATTTTAGCCTGGGGATTTTATTCAGTAAGTATAGGATTGAGCATAATAATTTGCAGGTGATCCTATGGCTGCCAATCCATGGATTACATCTTCAGGAACATTGATTTAAATCATTTTTCTTATTACCAAATACCAGGTAGAGGGATCCAAAAATACCTGGGTACATAATAAAGTGGCTTCTACTACCCTTCCCTTATTTATGAAAGAGTATAATTGCCAAATCCTTTTATCAAAAGGAGATCTAAATTTTCTAAGGGGAACCCACCATTTTGCTTTTTCCTTACTGTGTCCTTTTCCTCTCTTTACAGACTATCCAGATCCTGCTTGGACTGATGAACTTTTCTTTTGGGGTAATTTTCTTTTTCATGTTTGAAGAACCGTACCCAAGGTTCCCCTTTATATTAATTACAGGATATCCATTCTGGAGCTCCATTTTGGTGAGTATAGTCAATCAAGTTCAATGTGAAGCCATGTCAACAGGGATATTAGAGAATTCTTAGTTTCAAAAATGAGCTATATACAGTTGTATGATAGGCTTTGAAATGTCAAAATGAAAATAAGCCTTGTTGAAATTATTTCCCCATTAATTCATCAGTTACTGATATTCCATCATTGTGTCTTGAAGTTCCTTTGGGAATATTTTTTTGGCTCTTGAGGTTATTTGTCCATTCATTCATTCAAATGAGTTACCATCTGAGCCAGATACACAGAAGAAGGCAATCAGGATTCAAAGGTTAATAATACATGGGCCCTGATTATGAAAAACAGTGTGGCTATTCCTCCAAAAAATTAAAACAAGAATTATTATGTGATCCAGCAATTTCACTTCTGGGGATATATCCAAAGGAAATAAAAACACTATGTCAAAGAGATATCTATACCCCCAAATTCATAGCAGCATATTTACAACAGCCAAGACATGGAAAAAAGTTGTGTTCTACAGACAAATGGATAAAGAAGTTTGCACACACACACACACACACACACACACACACACAATGGAATATTCTGTCATAAAAATGAGGATATCCTGCCAATTGTGACAACATAAATGAAATTTAAGAGCATTATGCTAAGCAAAATAAGCTAGATAGAGAAATAGAAATACTGTATGATCTCATTTATATGTGGAATCAAAAAGGGGTGAGGATAGAAAGGATTAAACAGGGTCAAATATACAATGATGGAAGAATATTTAAATCTGGGTGGTGGGCACACAAAACAATTTACAGATGATGTCATAGAACTGAAACCTATATAATTTAAAAGTATATATTTTTTATTTACTTCAGAGAGGAAGGGAGAGGGGAGAGTCACAAAAACATGAATGATGAAAAGAGAATCATTGATTGCCTGCTTCCTGCACACCCCACACCAGGGATTGAGTCCGAAACCCAGGCATGTGCCTTGACTAGGAATTGAACTGTAACCTCCTACTTCATAGGTCAATGCTCAACCACTGAGCCACGTCATCTGAGCTGAAACCTATATAATTTTATTAACCAACATCATCCCTAAATTTTTAATTAAAACAAAAGAGATCAGACTTGACATTACCAAAGGCAGGGGTGGTGTCAAAAGGCATCAACTTCCAATTATAAGATTAAAAAGTACATGATGACTATAGTTAACACTGTTGTATAATATATATGAGATTTTAAAGAGGATACCTCCTAAAAGTCCTCATCACAGGAAAAATATATATTTTCTTTCTTTTTCCTTTTTGTTTTGTATCTAAATGAGAAGATGGATGCTAACTAAAGTTATTATGGTGATCATTTTATGATAGATGTTAGATCATTATGCTGCACCCTTTAAACTTATACAGTGATGTATGCCAATTATTTCATAATAAAACTGGGGGAAAACAAAAACAACCAAACAAAAATAATAATACATGAAAAAATTACCATGTGGTGTGATGAATGGTGATAGAGGACACACAAGTTTCTCTATAGGAAAGGCACTTACAAAATGGAGGGGAGGTTTCCCAGAGGTATTTCCAGCTTGACCAAGTTTTAAAGAACTTTAATCAGATGAAGACACATATGGAGGAAGGGAGTGGGGGATGGTTGGGTGTAAGAGGTAGGATGTCTTGCTGTATGTCAAGGAAGAAACATGAAAAACATAAGAAAAAGCTTAAAGTATGGGGAACACTTTTTATTCTGAGAACTCTAAGAGTTCAGTGCAGAGAATAAGAGGGGGAGGGATGAGGCTGAAGAAATACCACACAATGAACTAGAAATTTAAAAATGGATGAACTGTGTTCAGATTTGAAATTTCTTTTAGACAATGATCCCACAACTATGACTCATCACAATGAAAATTTTGGTATTTTATGTAACTCCTAGAATATTAGCTGCAACTCTGCTTATGTTTCCATCCAAGAGAACACATCAGACTGCACATAGGTAGGAAGGATGTTTCCTACAGGAATGATGGAATCTGATCTTATTGGTTGTAAACTGAATTGACACCAGTATGTTACGATGTCTGCAATAGCTATAAAAAGAAGATGGATGAGAAAAATGAAATCCCAGTAAAGTTTTAAAAAAAATTCTCATGTTCAAATGAATAGTTAAAGCTAAAGCAAACTTCCAGTACAGTATTTTGTCCACTATTCATTTATGGACAACCCATACAAGGCATCTCACCTTTCTCACTCCCCTGAGGACTGTGTGAAGTACAAGGAGGTTCTGTGTAAGGGACATGTAGAAGTCTATTCTCTGAGAACTCTTTATGTCCATCACTAAGATATGTATTCTTTCTAATAGTTCATTTATTCCGGAGCCTGCCTAGTTGCATTGGAAAAAAAAGGCACACAAACTATGGTGAGTTATATTTCCCCTTTATTAAAAAGTATTTATAACTTTGAAATAATTCCTTTGAGTCTTGAAAATGAATTTGGAAAATCATTAACTCCAAAAAATGTCAATTACTGATACCAATCAATGCTATTTGCTTCTTTTTTTCCCATAGAATCATAAAACATTAAGGCCAAAAGCAAGTTTCCTAGGTCATCCAGTTTAATTCTAATTTTACATATAGACACTGAGGCATAGATTAAATGACTTGTCCAAGTTCCTCAGCCAGGTGGCAGAATGGCATTATTAAAGTACCTCATTCATTCTTTTTTAAAAATTATTATTATTGCTAATACTCACCTGAGGATATTTTTCCATTGATTTTTAGAGAGAGTAATTTTAGAGAGAGTGGAAGGGAGGGGGAGAGACAGATATAGAGAACCCTCTCACATTGATTGGTTGCCTCCCGCATGCTCCCCAGCCTGCAACCGAAATATGTGCCCTTGACCAGAATCGAATTCAAGACCCTTTGGCCTGTGGGCCAACATAAGTTATTTCTGGTGCCTGCTGAGCGCCAGACACTTTGACAGGCAGTCATTTGACTCTTTGTAAATGACATAATTTAACCTGATATGCAGAATCAGAAAATAAATAGTAAGTGTTAATGAATGCAAAACTTTAACTTACAGATAAACTATAAGCAGCATATTTTTACTTTTCTCAAAGAATCAAAGCTATGAGATATTAATAAGCCAATAAATAATTTTCAGCAAAGAATGCCACCTATAGATTTGCAGTTTTGGTAAGAAAAAAAGTTGCAAGTATATATATGTATGTATGTATGTGTGTATATATATTATATAATGTATATAATATATAGTATATAGTAATACATATTAAATATGTAGGTGTATATATGTATTAATATAATATATATTAAACATAGTCATAAATAGGTCATGACTTTGATCAGAGCATCAAAATGCAATGTGGCTATCCCTAAGAACTTATATTGTCCAGTGTGTACCCCTCCCTTTAATTAAATAGGATTTAAGTTAGGCACTGATTATGGGGGATGTAAGGGTTATGAAAAGTTCACTGGTTCCCCTTATTCTGTAGATGAGGACCTAAAGCCCAGTTAGGTGAAGGGACATTCATAAGATGATATGGCTGCTTCATGGCATTGTAGTGCTGAGACCAAAATCCTGCTGCCCATTGTTTTGTCTCCTCACCCATTGTTTTGTCTATAGACTCAGATGGGACCTGGTCATTGTGTTATGTTTTTACTCTCTTTCAGATGAGGATGAGCCAAACAATGAATTGTTTTAGTGTCCTGGCAGCAACAGCTGGAATCATTCTCCTTGTATTTGGTTTCATTCTAGATCAAAACTACCTTTGTGGCTATTCTGGAGAAGTTAGTCAGTGTAAGGCTATTAACACCCTATTCATCGTAAGTATGCTGCATTTTTAGGGTGAGGAGTCTCCAAGAGGCTCCTACCCCATTGTCCTGTAGACAGATGAGTTAGTGGGAAGAATGTCTTGGCCCACAAATTTTACATGGATCATGCAGGATCAATATTATCAACTTATAACAACTACAATAGTAACAATAATGAGGGAAAATATTGGTAAAAGCCAGTACAATGTTCCAAGCACTGTATGAAGTGCTTTATGTATATGACTCATTTAATCTCACAAAAAATTCTAAGAGGTGAATTTTATGAACAAGGAAGCTGACGCACAGAGAAGGTAAGTTATGTACCCAAGGTCAGTTGCAAGGGCAGAGCCATGCTATCAACAGACAGTGTGTCTCCTGGTCCCAAGGTCTTAATACATATACCATAAAGATTTATTAGAACCTAATCAGCACCATCCAAATAATGTTGCAGACAAATGTATTTTTAACTCACAAACATGTACAGAAATCATATTATCTAATAGGCATTCAACCAGGCATTGTAGAATAGAACAGTAAATGTATTATTACCCCCAACTTGAGCAATTCACAGATGAGCACAGGAGATAAAACATGTACATCAATGAGAATAATATATAAAAAAGTGATATATTAGAAGAAAAAGCAGGTATAGCAGTATTGTAGTAGTTATAGCCCTGGATGTACATTAGAATCATGAGTGGAGCATTTTTATGGTTTTGGTTTTACTATTCAGACTGGGTTTCTGATAAAACATGATAGATTGAAAACAGGCATTTATTTCTGCTTTTCTGAACTTAGTGTAAAGACACGTACAAGATATGAATCTGCATGGAGAGAGAAAATAGCTAATAGCCAATAAAAAAATTGCTGAGAAATTTGAAAACTAATCATCTAAGGAAAAGGGGATCCTGATAGTAGGGGATCCATAATATTTCATATGGAAGATTCGAAGGAACAGAATGTAGCAGGACCACAGAAAACAGGGGAGAAGAGAATAGATTAATTTTGGTAATAGTAAAATGGGATGTGTGAATTGATCCTAGTCTGGAAACAAAGAAAAATGCTACATTAAAGAAACAAACAAACACTTTTTAAAACAATTTAAAAGCCCTGAAGAGCTGCTAAATCACCTGGACCACCTAGATCAATTTTTTTTAGGTGAAAGCCTAATCTGAAATCTGTCAATGGAATGCCAAAGAGCAATAATGCTACTTACACCTCAAGCAAATTTGCCAATGTTGCCCATTTGGAATCTGATTCCAGTCTAAGTGCAATTGAAGAAGAAAGAAATGAAGGCCTGTGCAATTTTGTGCTCTGCTGTAGGGTACCACACTGTGCTGTGCTATGTAGTACTGTGCTAAAATATCTGTATATTGCAATGAGCCTCTACTAATTTGCTTTGTAAGCATTAGCTACATTTGATATGTGGGGGAACTTTCTTATCTGGGCATTGCTACCTCATTATCATCTGAAAAACCATTATTGTGCTAATACCATGATTCTTTTACTTTTTTCTTCTGTTACAGGGACTTTTGATTATGCTGATAGCCTTCAGCACTATTGAACTACTCATTGCTCTGTCTTACTCAATTTGTAGCAGATCCTTTGACTGCTGTGATTGTGAGGAATGGTGTTGAAAATCACTGTGCAAATAAAGAAGTGAGATAATATCATGGCGAGATGAATTATATTTGTGAGGAACAGCCAAAAGGAACATAGGATGTTAAAGCTGGCAACTCTTTGAAGCAAAGGAGAGGGACTCAGGGGAATGGGGCTGGGGAAAATTTTGGCTGATAAAACACATCCTGCCTCTTTGCAATGTCATCTCCTCCTCTCCCAGAATCACATGGTCGCGTTGGTGTCAGTCATGCATTCACTGAAGCAGTGTGGTGGTGTTGCTGCTGCAACAAACAGATAAAGGAATCAAAGTCCAGGGTGTGCAGTGACCAGGTCCTACTGATTTCTCCAGGAGGCTCTGTCTCCAAGAGGCTCCTACCCCATTGTCCTGTAGACAGATGAGTTAGTGGGAAGAATGTCTTGGCCCACAAATTTTACATGGATCATGCAGGATCAATATTATCAACTTATAACAACTACAATAGTAACAATAATGAGGGAAAATATTGGTAAAAGCCAGTACAATGTTCCAAGCACTGTATGAAGTGCTTTATGTATATGACTCATTTAATCTCACAAAAAATTCTAAGAGGCGAATTTTATTATGAAACTCATTTTATGAACAAGGAAGCTGACGCACAGAGAAGGTAAGTTATGTACCCAAGGTCAGTTGCAAGGGCAAATGTGTGAGGTTTAAGTGTAGACAGTGTGTCTCCAGGGCCCAAGGTCTTAATACATATACCAACATCTTTGAAACTTTTGGTCTCAGACCCCTCTTATACTTTAAAAAACTATTGAAGACTCATTACATAATGCTACAAACAAACCTTTTATTAACATAACTATATTTTTCAAAATAGAAAAAAATAGTGTGGAGAGTGGCACTGATAGAAAGTTTTGCAAATCTCTTTTTATAGGTTACTTAACATTCTTTTCTCATTTTTTAAAGCTTTATTGAGTCATAGTTTGTATACAAAATGTTTTGCATTTAATGTATGCATACTCCCAATATCATCACCATAACCAAGATACTAAACACATCCATCACCTCCAAACATTTCCTTGTATTCTTTTGTTAATTTTTTATTTTGCTTTTGTTTTTGGTACGAACATAACATGAAATCTATCCTCAGAATATTTTACAGCGAACAATACAGTATTATTAACTGTAAGTGCCCTGTTGTACAGAAGATTCCTAAAACTTACTCATCCTCATAAAAAAAAACTTTATGCCCATTGAAAAACAAATCCCCATGTAATTTTACTGTCTATTCACATCACCTGAAGAACTTTTATAAACCCAATGCACCACATACTACCACAAACCAGTGAAATCAGAGTGTGATGAGAGCTGGGCACCAATATTTTTCAAAGATCTCCAGGTGACTCTAATGCAAATGTTAGGAATCACCATTTCTTTCTATCTTAATGGGAGACAAGCAGATTCTCTTGTTTTGAATTCAACCTATTGTGACATCTCATCTTCTGCGGGCTGTGGAGAATACCACTGCAAACTCACGGAAAGGGATAAATAGGTCTTACTATTATTATGAAAATTGTTTTGAGTTCACAGACCGCCCCCCCTCCCCAACCCATCTAAAAGTGCCTCAAGGACTTCAGAAGTTCCCCAGACCACACTTTAAGGACAGCTGCCTTATATTGTGTCCACTGACGGACTACCTGCTCAGTATTAGAGCTCTTCTGCCATCTCATTTAATTGTCATGACAGCCCCCTGAGAGGTATGACTGACCTAAGTTACAGTCATGAAAACTGAAACTCAACATGGTTAACTTTTCTGAGACCACAAAGGGGAATTAGAATCAGGATTTGAAGCAAGATCTCCAATTCCAAATCCCATTGTCCTATGTTTCTATTGGCATAAAAGTACTTGGCATATTCAAAGAAATAAACTATCTGACTTTCATTTCTGCTGTGAGATGGAAGGAGATCAGCCTATAGGTGCATATATGAAGGCAGGGGATGGGGAAATGAAGTTCTGATGAAAAATATTTATGTTTTTTAAGTATTTATTTCCAGTGGAGTGAGGTTCTGATGAAAAAATATTTGGTGGTGGCTGAGTGAGGTTCAAATGTGTGAGGTTTGAGATATATTTAAGGGTGAAAAGCTTTCACCTCATGGTCAGGGCTTTTAAGTCAGACCTAGTTTTAAATGTCAGTTTTGCAATTTACAGCTAATTGACTTGAACAAATTAACCTGCATGAGCTTTAAATTTCTAGATTAAAATGTAATAATACCTCCCTGGGGGGGTTTCCATGAGCCTTAAGTGAACCATGTAAACTGGTTTTATCAGTGCCTGGGACTTAAAAATAACTTAGGAAATGGTACATTTTCTTTTAAATTTATAATTGAGGTTTTCTTGCTTTCCAAAATCACATTTTATCACTTACTCTATGACTATGGGTCAGTTTCCCCCACTTCCTGAACATTCATTTCCACTGATTATAAAACAGAATCAAATTATAGTGTTATATCAACAATGCTTGGAATATAAATAGGTATTCAACTGATGTAACTTTCCTGTCAAAAATGTAAAGTAGTCCCCCAAAACAGAAAGAGGACCTCTTAAACTACAAAGCTCTTAAGTACTCAAATTTACATTTTCCTGAGTTTTAATTATTTATAAGTATAACATTGGGACTTTCCAACTTGTAACCAAGTTCTATTTGCAACTTGGTAGGGTCGGGGGTGGAGTAAAGGGTAAAGGGCGACAAATATATGGTGATGGAAGAAGATCTGACTTTGAGCGGTGGGCACCCAAAGCAATATACAGATGATGTACCATAGAATTGTACACTTGAAACCCATGTAATCTTAACCAATGTTACCCCCATAAATTTAATTTTAAAAAGTATTCATAGTAAGGTCTTCGGTTTCACCTCTGAGGGACCCTGAATCTCCCTAACCAATTCTCTGAAACCAAACCCTCCAGCACCAGGTAGCTTCCTGAGAGTGGAGAGGGCTGCTGATCACTGACATGAGAGGCAGTACCCCAGCAGAACTGTCATCTTTCACAGCACTGCAGAGAACAAGGCAATCAGACCCTATGAAATTACTGCTTGCAAGGGACACACAAGTCAAAGCCTACAAATAATGATGACGGTACATCGTAATGGCATTGCGAAATGTAGAAACTACATTGCAAAACATACTTTTCATAAGAGAGGCAAATGTTTCCAGGATAAAAATAAATAGGGGTATTAGGAGGTAGGGAAAATAAAAGCAAGAAAAATTCCTATCAGGCAAATGCTGACAAAATAAAAGTGGAATTGATAAAAGTCTGTGCAGAGTTCAAGAAAGAGATCATTATATGGAAGTAAGGAGGGCACTACGTAATGCCAGGAGGTTTACTTCAGAGAAAAAAAATTTAAATGTATAATTGATGTCATAAAACATCCTCAAACATAACAGAGAAAAAAAATGGGACAAATAAAGTGCTACTGACAAACCCAAACTGTAGTGGGATTTCAACACACTCAAGCACCTACAGGTCAATCTAGCCAAACCTGCAAAGGCTAAGTGAAAGTTTATATAAGTTTAAATTCAAGTTTATTTAGGAGCAATCACACTTGTAGCCACCTAAGTTTGAAAAACACACACCAAAAAACAGAGTAGCAAACATTCCAAGGAAGAGTTGGGAAAAGCAGGGCCTACACAGAGACAAGGATATGAAGAATCAGGTGTGCAACCCAATTTGAGCCTCACTGATGCCAGATATTTGCCAAGTCTGACCCTGCTCCCAAGCTCACTGAAATGAAGGCACGTCCCTATAGCCACTCAACATCCTGGACCCACACCTCTGGCCTCACAGTCATCTACAACTCAGACCCTATGAAATTACTGTCCCTGTCACCAATCACGCAAGCACTTAAGCAGATACCCATAGATCCATAGCCAGAATATTGAATGGATGGGTGACAAAGCTTATGCTTCCACTCCTCTCCTCCCTATGGCTTTTATGAGAGGTGACTGCAAGGCTTACCTGTGTATACTTGATGACAATAAGTTATCCATTCAAGTGGTAGCCTATTCCACTGATGAACTACTCCTGGATGGGAAGATAGCATTTTTAATTTTTTAAAAATAAATTTATTGGGTGAGATTGGTTAATAAGATCAATCCCAAAGGCAAGGGAGATAAGAGCAAAATGAAACAAATGAGGTGGCATTTTCTTACATGTTGCATCAAAAGTAGCCTCTCCAGACCTACTATTAATCACTGGTCTTAGCCCTTTGATTCCAAACCACCCTAAAGAAAAGAGAGGCAAAGGAAGAAAAAGAGGAGAGAAGAGAAAAGAAGAGATTAAATATGAATTAACCTTAGATTCGGCAATAGAGCTACCATATTTCAGCCCTTTAGAATAGGCAAACAATTACCTAACTACAACCCTGGGTCTCTAATGAAATAAAGCAATGGGGAAGGACATTTTAAAAATAATGAAAAATCCAACATGTGAAATACGGTAGTCCTCATTGTCCATAAGCAATCTATTTTAAGACCCCCAGTGGATGCCTGAAACCACAGACAGTACTGAACCCTGTATGTATTATATTTTTTCCTACACATACATAACATTTCACAGCCTCTCTTTGTTATATCCAAGTTGCCAGGATCACTACTCTTGCGATTTGGAGCCATTATTAAGTAACATAAGAGTTAGCTGAACACAAGCACTGAGATGCCACCACAGTTGATCTGATAACCTAGACAGCTACTTAGTGACCAGTGGGAAGAAGCATATACAGTGTGGAGATACTGGACAAAGAGATGATTCATGTCTGGGGTGGGCCAGAGCAGGACAGCATAAGATTTTATCACACTACTCAGAATGACACACAATTTAAAAATATGAATTGTTTATTTCTTGAATTTTTCATTTAATATTTTTAGACCAAAATTGATTGTGGGTAACTAAAACCCATGAAAGTGAAACCACAAACAAGGGGAGACTACTGTAGAGGCTGTATATAGTGGGGGTAGGGGACTCAGTATTTGGGGGCA